TTTCCCAGTGGCAGTGGAAGAGAAATCTGTCTGTCTGCCCAGCAGCACATGCAACAGTGCAGCCAGCAGTCTTAGGACCTTCACTCAGTGTCCCATCCATTTAGGAATACAGGACTTGCTTTGCATTGGCAGCAGTGGTATTAAGCCGAAACTAACTTTGAGACTTGCTTTGTACTTAGGAAAGTCACATTCCTAAATTGATTACGCCTGTGGAAAAGGGAAGAGATTTAGAAGCTCGACTTATAGACTCTTACATCATACAGTGCCAAGCTGAAGCTCAAGAAGGTATCTTCAAATATGCGTTTGTTTGGGATGGTAAAGGACAGCCTTTGTGGGTTACTTTGTTGTCTCATGAAGTCTACTTGGCAGCAATGCCATTTTTTTTTCTTCTCCTGAAGTACTGTGGCTTAGTGGGGTGGGTTTCTTTTAAAGAAACTTAAGTTACAATTATAGGAGGAAAATGCCCAAAATCAGTCTGATACTGCAAATGTAACCACTTTGGAAGAACTTTTCTGTGACGTTCCTCCCCTGCTTTGGCTGGTTTTTGGGGTTTTTTATTATTTCATGCAGTCTCTTCACCAGCATGCTTGCCTAGGATAAATTTCCAATTCCTTTACTTTAAAATATTTGTGGCTTCTGTTTACTAGCTGGTCTTCAGACTAACCATCCTTCAGCTTTTCTGTTAATCTGGAATAATTCTATCCAAGAAACAAATCTGTCTTTATTCTGCAGTTTGCTTCACTGCACAACACTTGTTTTCTGCTCATGCAGGGGTTTTAAAATGCTAAATGCCTCTGCTGATTTGATGTGACATTTCCAATTGAACTTTAATACTGTGGTGTGAAAAATTTTTTTCAGTGACAATTGCTCGGGCTATTGAGCTGAAACACAATCCAGGACTAATAGCTGCTCTTGCTTATGAAACAGCTAACTTCTACCAAAAAGCTGGTAAGTGTCTTGTTTTGCATCCTTAGTGATCTGGTTTATGTATTCTTGCCAGCAGACATACTTCATCCACCCATCAATTGTGATATTAACACTGTTTCTCAGTGGATATGCTTTCTATATTTAGCACATTTAAGGTTTCAGTTATCAGTGTCAGATATATTTTGATAAGACCTTTTGGTTTTGTGGGACTCTTCTTCTGTAGCTAATGGTTGGAAATGTTACTGGGGGGAGACAGAAGGCAGAGTAATGTCTTGACAATATGTAATAGCAGCAAACAGATGGCTCAATGTAAATTGTGTTTCAGCTGCCTTTGGGCAGCAGATTATGATGCAGACCGTAAAATGTGTAGCAGGTTAATTATGAACATCCTTCCCGATGAGTAAGCTGATCTATGGGCTTGCTGAGGCAATTGGGAAAAGTGAAAAAATATGGGAGTCAACATGAGAGATGGAATATTCTAACATATATAGGTTTTTATAGGTCCCTACTTAAAATCAGCAACAAGCTTTGAAATGCTGCCTGAAAATACTTATGAAAATTAGCCTTCCAAACTCAGTGGGCAGCAGTTTCAGAGATTCTAGGGACAACTGCGTGATAGCTCAATAAAACTGCGTATATTTTTATTTTTCTCATAGTTTCTCTGTTCCTTTGCAGAAGTAATTTGTCACTTGTTTCTGTCTACTGTATTGTTAAGATCTGTTGCTAAATTGAAGAATTCTGGTCTTCTAGTGTGTGTGAGAATTTCCTTTTTGGAAATGTCTTAAAGAATAACTTCACGTATGTGTTCATAGATAAAACTCTATCCAGTTTGGATCCAACCTATGCAGGTAAATGGAGGAAGTACTTAAACTTGAAGACCTGTTTCTATATGGCCTATGTAAGTACTTCAGTTGACATCAGTTACAGTTTGTAATGTTGTCCAAAGGGCTGGATAGGGAATGGGTGCTGAGTGTGAAAAGAGGCTGTGCATTGCCAGTGGCATTTGACGTTTGAGCCAGTTGAAATTACTGCAGTGTGTAACTTTTTGTAATTACCTATCATTAAGTGAAGTGATTCAGATTGAGCATAATGCTTGTCTTCCACTGTCTGCGTCACAGTCTGATTCTAGGAATAATCAAGAGCTGATCATCTTTTCCAAGGCCTTGAATGAAACTGCATCAAGTAATGTTAGGTGCCATTCCAAGTGCTGTCCCTTTTTGCATGGCTGATCTCTTAGCGTGTTGGGATCATCAGCTGCTCAGTTTGCTGTTCATTTCTTGTAGCCTGCCACAGCCTGTACAGTGAGAGAGAAACGTTTAAACTAGACTATATTGTTCTGGTAAAACAGCCTTCATGAGGCTCAGTTACTCTTGGCTACATTTGAGACAGCTTGCTTCATGCCTAGTGTGTATCTGCATTGTTCATGGAGTGATACTTTGACTTGCATTCCCAAATTGCCAGCTATCTGCAGGGAATGTCAGCTTCAAAGAGGTGCAACTCTGATATAAGGAGCAGCAGAAGGAATTGGTGCAGGAAGTGCCCAATGACATGGTAATGATTTTGTCCTCTCCCATTAGGCATACTGTTACCATGGTCAGACTTTACTGGCAAGTGATAAATGTGGGGAAGCAATCAGATCTCTGCAGGAATCAGAAAAATGTAAGTGTGATTGAGACTGGATTACGGGGTCTGATGATGACATGCCTGGTTTGTTTTGCTATATTGAGTTTATTTGATTTTCCATAAACATAAGATTTTATCTGCCACTTGATGAAAATCCAGCACACTTTTGAATAGGGACAGTGTTATTTGTTTTGTCTTGTCAAAGGCTGTCTTTCATAACAGAGTTGCAGAAGATTTCATTTTCACTTCGCAACCTTTTAAAGATTGGCTTTACACTGCTTGCAATATGGTGTAAAAATCAATTGTCCAGTCATCATGTTTTCTGGTCTGGATGGTAAGTTACAGCAGCCTTTTCTGCTTTGGTGGTTGCTCTATCTTACATTGAATAGTAAATCTAGCCTTTTTTTGTTTGTTTTTAAACAGGTTTCAGTGACTTACTTGCTTTCTATTCATTTGAAAGGTAGATGAAGGGAAGATTGCAGTAGTTCAGGGTCTTCTGCCCATCCTTCTCTCTTCAAAGCTATTGCTAGTCCAATGGCCTGCACTGCATAACTTTACCACAATGTATAAAAATTGCTCAAATCATCAAATGGAAAACTTTTAGTACTAATTTTAAAAATAAATAAAAAGGATTTATTAAGAACAAACTAAGTTGGAAGACTTACAAGAACAGTTAAATTAAATTGAATAGTGTGGGTTTTAGTGTGCTTGCTGTTCAGAGAAGAGTGCCCCTTTTCCCACTCCATATTAAGTGGTGTTTATTTTTGGACATCAAATCTTCATAGATACCTTCATACTCACACTTTTTCCTACCATGTGGTACAGTTCTTAAGCTTACTGTTCCATTTTGCCCCACATGTAAGTGCTTTTCTGCATCTTCCTACTCAAAAAAAAGTTATTTATTTTTTTTCCTTTCCCTAGTCACTTTTGCAGTAAATCATGGCTGGGAGTGCTGCTTTTGAGCTAGTTTAGTTTTGTTTCTAAGAAACAAGAAGACAGCTTGGATTCTGGTATCTCCTAAAACTGAAGCACTGTAGCTCAGAACCATGATTTGACAGACTCATATAAGTGATTTTTATAACATTTTTTTCTTGCAAAGTTTTTGCCAAGGCTGAAGCACTGTGCAAAGAATATGGAGAAACCAAAGGGCCTGGGACTACTGCCAAGCCTTCTGGACATCTCTTCTTCAGAAAATTAGGAAGTTTGATTAAGAACACCCTAGAAAAATGCCAGCGAGAGAATGGATTCATGTAAGCAATTAGTGGTTGGTACAGTACTCTGTATGAACTGTTAATACCTCATCTGCTTTTATTTCCAGGTGGGATGGTGAATTTTACACTCTAGTTCTTCTGTTCCGCTTGGCCATGGCATGTAACTTAGGCAATCACAAATTTCTTTTTAATTTTCTCATAGTAGATTTGCTATGGCTCAGTGCTGTCACCCTCCCCATTTCTTATGCCAGTTCAGTAAGGCAGGTTGGACTGACCTGCTGAAGAGGTTAAGCACTTTTCTTCTTTCATTCGTCAGCCATTTTGTTCCTTTTCCTGCAGAAAGAGGAATTCCTGCAGAGGCTGCTGTTTCCCTAATGCCCTCTTTCCAGCTGCTGGGATCTAGTAGGCAGAAGAGGACACAGGTGGAATACTTTGCTAGCAGGGAGATCAAAACACAGTCGTGCCTTCAGTGAAGAACATGTTTAGGCTGCTAGGAGCATTACCAGTCTAATTAATATTCCAAACAGGAATTTCTGTTAGTTAATGCCCCTTCCAAAAGAAGTTTGGAAGTGATTTAAAATAGCAACATTACTTTGGCTTTAGAGTTTCTTTTGCTCATGTCTAGCTACCCTCCTCTTATGATTTAGCTAGTTCCCTTTTTATGATATTTTAAGACCTTCATAATAGGGGAATTGACTAAAGAAATAGGATCGTTAAGTACATCAAGCTGAACTGCAAATAGGAAGGGAAATCCTCTACTCTGCTTTGGTTCCAATAACCAGTATCCTGGCTTACAACAGTATACAGGAGATGTCAACAAATTCATGTCACTGTAGAAGCAGACTTTGAAAGAGAAACCAGATAATCAGTAACTGTTTTGGGAGATGTGCCTGCTAGAGGGCTCTGCTGCAGTGCAGGTAGTAAGGTAGTGTGTGTCAGTGTTGGTAAGTTTTCAGCTCTTGTTGGTTTGCCACGGGTGGATTTATACCCTCATTCCATCTTTGTGTTGTAGCAAGTCTTTGTGGGTGCTGCAGTGTCTGTTGCTGTTAAGCACTGTGCCAGAGTAAGACCGATTTAGGAAAATAAATGTCTTTTTCATCTTGCTGGGGAAGTATTTTAATTCCTTGTTTGGATTTTAAAGGTCTTTTTCAACAAAATAAGCTAAATTCTCATTGAAGCACTGAGACTAATGGTTATTGAGGAGGAAAAAAAACAGCCCACCTAGCTATTAGGGAATCAATAATATCAAAAAGAAATTGCTTGTGCTCTTTGAATCTTACTGACAGAATGGGTGTTGGGCAGTGCCTTAATGAAATGGAAGAGGAGGGCAGTGATTGCCACTGTAAAATCCTAGATTGTTTTTCTTTAGAATTGCAAATGAGACTTGCAGAGAGTGCACTGTGTTTTCAATATATTGCTGTATTCTATTACAGCTATTTTCAGAAGGTGCCAACAGAGGCTCCCCAGCTGGAATTGAAAGCAAACTATGGCTTAGTAGAGCCTGTTCCTTTTGAATTTCCTGCCTTGAATGCACATTGGACTCCTGAAACACTTGCTGCTTTTGATCTCACCAAGAGGCCAAAGGATGACACTGTAAGATAATCATATGTGTTGTTCTTTCCCATTAGCTTTATTCTGTGTGTAACAAAGAGTTACTGTTCTGCTCTTCTGTAACACTCCCCAGCTCAGAGAGGACAGAGATAGGAGGCTACCACCTGAGCTCACATTCCTACTGTGCCAGGAGGCAAGTCTCTGCCACACTGTCAGCATCTGCCAATTAGGAGTCCCTTTTTTCTTTTTCTTTTTATTTCTTTTTTTCTGAAATAAAGAACGTTTGGCCTTTCCCTTTTGCTTGAAGCTTGCTCAAATTCTTCAGCCTTAAAAAGAGATTAGACCATTAGATTAGAATATGTAAAGTTAGCCATGCATAAATGCTCTGCAGACACAGTGGTTTGTACTTGGTGGTATTTATTTTTTTTTTCTTGTTCACAGGCTAAACCAAAACCAGATGAAGAAGTAAAACCTCTGAAGGAACCAGATATAAAGCCTCAAAAAGACAGTGGATGCCAGATTTCTTAAGTGCCATAAGTGCTTCAAATTAACTTTAAAGCTGTGTTAGTTGGACCTTGGTGCTTTAGTTCTGTTCTCCCTTTTTCTGATTCCTCTTTTTTATTTTAGAAGACTAATTTAATTTCATTTTGTTAGTATGCATCTATCTTGCTTGAGAATGTGCTGGATTTCTAGGAGTTTATTTATATGTGACTCATTTTTGGGTTTAGTGGGATATCATAGAATGAGCGGGCTTAAATGTTCCTATTGTGCCTCTAGAGAGTTTCTTTTTGTGGGTTTAGTTTCTACCCACAAATAGCAAAGAAAGTATCATGATTGTAACTCTTAAGGATTTTTTCATTAAATAGTATGCTATATAATGTCAAATTCTGCAAACTAAAGATTGCTTGAACTGTTACATTTATTCAGGCTTTAACACTCTGTTGTGTTCCAATGCACTTCACTGTAGCAAGCAAAGAAAATCTGGGTTTTGTTTGTTACACTCCAATGGTATTTCACAGTACTTTCACAGAACTTGAAAAACCCTATGTTCTGCATAACTGGAACACAATTTATATTATTCTGAAGCGATTAGCCTCTGTTCTTTCCACTGTAGATTAGGGGTCCTCTATCAGAATTTGTAGGAAGATATTTTAGCTTGTCTGTCCTTCCAGTAAAATCCTTTAATATCAAAGTATATATGCAAGTGATGCAGCAAGTAATGTGAAAGTGCTTAAAAGTAATGCATCACGGTGTCATTAATTTGAAGTTTTTTGAATCTTAAAAAATGTTGTAAGTTTAAAAGCTGCAGACAGTTAAAATCTCATGTTGTCATGATTAAGGTAATGGAATTGTAACCAGGATGCTGTGTTTCCATCTGGGAAGTGTCTATAAGAAGCTGTTAGGAGAACAGAGAGGATAGGTGAGATGAAGAGCTAGGATTTGCTTGCGCTGCCTCCTTTAAGGATCACAATGCAGTTAACTCAGTTTCATAATCATGATTTAGTTACTCATCGTTGTTCAGATGCCTGTGTGTTAATATGTACATATCTCAACCTAATTAATTTTCCTTCTATGCAGACTAGATTCCATTTCACTCCTCCCTTCATTTTCCCTTTCATCTGCTACACACTCTGGCACAGATTTACCCTTGTCTGCTAGTGCATGTGTGGGTGCTAGGACTAATTTTCTGTTGGGCTTTGTACCATAGAAGTATTTCAGTATATGGTTATCTTAAAATAAAATGCACAGGTTGTGACTAAATAATTCCCAAACAACTTCTTAGGAAAGGTTATTTTATGGACTTGCAGTTCTTAATTCTTTGGACACTTTCTTGAACCAAGTGGTTTCTTTGAATCAAGTTCACTGTAAATAATTTTGGACATAACCAAGTGGATTGTGTCAGATTACGGAATTATTTAAGCGTAGCTGTGTAACCTCTTATGCCATAGCTGTTTCAGTAAATATGATGTTGTAGTTTAAAAATAGACTAATGGAACAAACTAATTCATTCAACATGTGTTGCTTTTCAAGACAAACTTCGTTTAGTCATAGTTAAAATCCTGTAGCAAACATTGCATAGTTTTGCCCAAAAATAAGAAACCTGAGACTGTTTTGTTTGCAAAGTATAGGGACCTGAGAGTCAACGATCAGTTTTCTCTTTGGTTTTGTTAGGTAGTAGCAAAAATTATTGTAAATAATATGTAGATTAACTGCCCAATATGCTTAAGAGTATGGCTGAATTGACTGGGTGTTTCAGTTAATCTGTAAACCTAGCAGCCATGTTTCTTGTGTTACAATTTCCTTTAGGAATTTTTACAAATGAAGTATTTTGAATGGTGACTTTTTAATACTCTAATGCTGCAAGAGCCTGTTTTTGTGGCCTCTGGTTTTAGAGGCTCTCATGGCTAAACCTGCAATTCTTGTTGGTGTAAATAGTCTTTACAAATTTGTGCCAAGTCTGGACTAGGACAAAATTGCAGCCGAATAAAATATGGAGTGCTGGGTTCTCTATTTTGTGCTTTTAAAAATGTGTTGATTGTCTTTAATCTACTATAAAACAAACCATTATCTCTTTGCAAGATTTCTATTTAAATACTTTCCTCCATGTATTTAAATATACCTCCTCCATGTTTTGTGTTTCTGGGTTTACAGCAGTTAATCTCCATCCAGCATGTGACACTCCTAGCACTGAGTGGCTAAATTTGGCCCTTGAATGCTGATGTCTGCCTCCCACTGGATTTGGTAGAGGAGTTTTGCCTGTCAGCCTAAGGATGGTCACTTAAATGTTCAGCATGGATATGTGGTGTGTCTGTAATGATGGTACTGGTGAATAGTATAAGCAAGAAAACAGATACCTTTATCTGTGTAGAATATAGCAAGCTTTGCACTTTAGAAACTTCTGATTTATTTCAATTTCAGTACAATAACATATGGTTGTAAATACTTCTTCCTGTCATTTTAATTTTGTTGCACTGATTTCAGTACTGTGCTATTGGTAAGATTTTTGAATAGGAAACACTACTAAAATGTATTTTGAATTATCTGTGTATAGAACAAACTCATGAAGTGTATCTCTACCTTTACTATTGGGGGAACATGAGAGGGGGCAGTAATTAATCTGCTTTCCATGTCAGTTTAGAAAAATGAGAACTTTCTGTTGGCTGAGGCATGAGAAGATTTCATCTCATCCCTGCGCCTCGTATCTAAACTGAAGTTTCAGCATTAACATAAATCCTATTCATTCCTATTAATTATCCCTAAAAAAAATAATATGTCTGGAAAGATCATTGCAGAATTATAAGTGGTGCTTTTTTTTACCTTAACTGGCCCGGTTGAATGAGGAATAAAGTGCAGGGAGTATGACTGACATGGAAAAACCCCTGCAGTGGGTACCTGTCTCCAGATTTTGAGTGCAGTACAAAGGCCTTTCCACCATGAAATTGTTTTCACTCAGATCTTTCCCCACTGGTGATGCTCTCAAATTCAAAAAATGTCTATGGTAACTGAGGGGGCCCTTGATCAGCTTTTAATATGGGAAGACCTACTTCTTTTTTGCGTGATCTTCATGGATTACAACCTTCTTTAAGCCAATCTGTACTCTGAATAATCAAACATTAATGGAATCAGCTCTGATGGGATTAACCGAGCAGCCTTATTTTGTGAAGACAGTCACCATGCAATATTAAGCTTCATAGTTTGAAAATCTGTATATAACCATGAGTTTCAGAACACAACTTAAAATAAACAGTCTTAATATATCAGTTTGTCTTTCATAATTTAAAATTTCAAGTATATAAGCAAGAAAAAGGGTGTCTCTTGAATGTTACTTTAATGAAAATGTAATAACTACAGAGAATACTTTACCCTTACAGTATCCCCAAAAGAAGACTTAAATGAGCAAGATACCGAGGTGAATTGGGTGCATGTGGAAGTAGTAGCTACATTGAAGGACTTCAGGTCATGGAGGGAGGAAGAGAGAAAGTGGAATTTCCAAACTTACATTAAAAAAAAATAAATAATCAAGTATGATTTTGTATTATTATAGAAACCTCCAGTGCTTGTAAATGTCTGTGACATTGTAGGATATTCTGTGTACTAGGCCAGAGGATTGTTTGGAAGTGCAGATTGCTGGCCACTGCTCTATATTGTCCTTATTTGTATATTTGATTCCTGTTTCCTGATCCTTGAAAGCCAGACTTGTCTCTAGTATTCCAGATGAAGCCTCACTAGCACAGCGTGTTAAGTCTTCCCTATCTGAACCAGACATACATCTTCTGGTGTATCAAAGAATCATTGTTTTGGTTGGAAAAGACCTTTAAGATGATCAAATCCAACTTAACCTACATTGGTCTGTCAGAGCCATGTGGTGGTCTCTAATAATTTTGCTTCATGCCTGTCACCGTTTGACTCGGGTCCAACAGTAATGCCCTTGATCCCCTCCCCTGGTCCCCCAGGTAGGGAAGGAGAGAGAGAAAAAGAGAGAGACTTGGCTGGATTGAAAACTAAACTACACAGCTTTAATTAAACACTAATGATATAAGAGAAAATATACAATTATATACAAATATATTTAGATATGTGCAAAAGCCTCTCCTCTTCCCCCACCCCCAGCAACTCCCACAGCATCTCCTGAGCTGTGAACAGTCCCGAGGAATCCTGGAGCTGCTGCTGGAGAAAGTGGAGAGTGATGAGGGTCAGGAGAGCTCGAGCCTAAGGGTGGATGGTGATGGATGGACGGAGTCCTCCCCGGATGCCAGCCATGGATGGAAGAGAAGGGAAGAAGAAGCAGGAAGGAAGTTGTCTTCTGTGATCTCTGACCTTTCTCTGAGCTTACATAGATATATGGAATGGAATATCTCTGGCCAATTTTGCTGTCTGTCTAACTCAGCCTCCTATGGGGGGGGTCAGAGATCTCCCTGTAGTGTCTGAGCTGGCAGAGCAAAGATGTGGCCTTGAAGACACAGCAGTTAGAGAAACATTCCAGCTGTTACCAGCCAAAGCTGGGACACTTTGCTACTAGTTAAAAGAAAGCTTACTGAAGGAAAAAAAAAAAAAAAAAAAAAAGTGGCTTCATCCTGGCTCAAACCAGGACAATGCCTCAAATCTTTCTGTCTTGTCTTTTTGAAAGAATGACACACCTTCCATTTACAGTGTCAATTTTGATAGCCCCTAGATGCAAGATTGCATTTGCTGTGCTGAATTGCCTTAAAATCTTAGTCAGGTACCTTCTCTGTGATACCTGGATCCTCTGCTGATAGTACTTCCCCAATTTTGATCCTCAGCAATTAAGTCAGTACCTTCCCCCCCAGAAAAATATCACAGAATCATTGGAGTTGGACGGGACCTCTAGAGCTTATCTAGTCCAACTCCCCTAACTAAAGCAGGATCCCCTAGAGCACATTACTCAGGGCTGCATCCAGGCGAGTCTTGAATATCTCCAGAGAAGGGGACTCCACCACCTCCCTGGGCAACCTGTTCTAGTGCTCTCTCACCCTCAGTAAAGAAGTTTTCCCTCATGTTCAGATGGAACTTTTTGTGTCCCTGTTTATGTCCATTGCCCCTTCTCCTATATGGCTGCGCACTACTGAAAAGAGTCTGGCTCCAGCCTTCCTGCACCCACCCTTTAGGTACTTGTAGGCATTAACAAGGTCTCCCCTCAGCCTTCTCTACTGCAGACTAGAGTCCCACTTCTCAGCCTTTCCTTTTAAGAGAGATGCTCCAGTATAGTATTACCTAGAAAGTTTGGACCAGATGGTCCTTGAGGTCCCTTCCAACCTGGCATTCTATGATTCGGTCCCCCAGTCATCTTTGTTGTCCTCCACTGGACTCTCTCTCGTGGTTCCCTGTCTCTCTAGAACTGTGGAGCCCAGAACTGGATACAGTATGTGGCCTCACCAGGGCAGAATAAATGGGCAGGATGACCTCCCTTGACCTACTGGCCACACTCTTCCTAGTGCCTTCCAAGATACCATTGGCCTTCTTGGCCACAAGCAGACAATGCTGGCTCACGGTTAATTTATTGTCTACCAGGACTCCAAGATCCTTCTCTTCAGAGCTGCTTTCTAGCAGGTCAGCTTGTAACC